TATTCATTATTGTTGGTAAAATTTCTTATCTTCACTTTTTTTGAGATAATGGTGGTGAACCTTTTTACCCGCGGACCTATGAGCACCGCTTTACCCTATACCAATATTTATCATTTTGTAAAATGTTATCTGTATACCTGTAAATGTTATATTTGATCGTGCTTTACGACTATTCTGGGACTAATAAAGTTTTTCAAGAAAGCGTTTGGTATATTATGCGGTATTACGATTTCTATCTTACTGATTGAACGTGTATGAAATCCAATACCATATCGAAAATTTTCAATTATGTTTTCATAATATAAATTACTGACAATGAGCGTCTTCTTCATTTTGGTTATTGGACGACCTCGAAGATGAAACGCGACCGACATGGATGTTTGATAAAGCAATGGGAATATTTGATTACAATAGTCGAACATAATGGCTAATATTACTATTGAAATCTGATAATCTTAAGTATATTATAATCAAAATAATCGAAAAAGCTTTCAAAATACTTCTACATAAAATCTTATTTTAAAAATCCAGTTACATGAAAGAGAAAAATCTACAGAAAAGTAGTTTTGCGAATGCAAATATTAAAATTTGTTTGAGCATTCGTTTCGTTTGAAATATTTGTGGCACACACACATACATTCATAAACATACACACTTATATACTTCCATATACAATTAATCAGCGTTTTAAAAGAATGTCTTAACTAAGCCTCAGTGATTTTTTCCAATAAAATAATTTTACGATCAAGTTCGAGGAATTAGTTCTATATGTGTACGTATGTAAATTATTTCACAGTTTATAGTTTTATTGTCCCACACACAAAGTATATATATAAATATATATAGATATATATTAGTGTGTGTGTACTACCTGTACCTGTGACTTGGTTCGCGTGGTATTCAACAAAAAAGTTTTTGCATTTTTATTTTATTTGCTATTACTAATAAAAGAGAATAACCTATAAATGATTCATCAATTTCAACTTAAAACTGAATAATGAACTCACGTGTATAATCATTAAAAAAGAAAGCAGTAAAAATTAATTTAAGATTTTATTAATTTATAATTTTTATAAAATAAGATTTAAAAAAAATGAATTTCTTGTAATAAAAAAACAAACTTTTTTGTTAAATTTCACGCGGACTATATCGGGGGTACATTAAGGTGAGAAGATAATAGGGTGAAATAAATTCTAAAATAAAAGTAGTTTAATTTACGTTCAATTTCGTCAACTACTTGCCAATAAAATTGTCTTCAAAATCGGTCTAACCGTTTCAGAGATTAGCCGGAACAGACAGGCAGTCCGACAGAATTTTTTAAAATAATATTTGTTAGCTGTGGGGGTGGGGTATAAAGGTCCATATTGTCTTTGAGCAATTATATTGTGAAAACCAAACCAATTACATCACAACAAATAACACATATCAAACAAACAGCTATCTGTTTATGTTCAGTAAAACTCCCAGCTAATTCATAATTCTACGAAAGTGTTTTTTTTGTTGTTTTTCAAAAATTTGTAACCTTGTTTTTTACCCCATAAGCGGGGTAAATTGGGACAGCCAGGGGGCAAACAGGTCCAATGTTATATTTTAATTTTAAAGGGATTTTACAAAATAATAGTTACATTATTCAACCAGTGTAAAATATAAATATCTTAGGTGCATTTTTTACATATATAACACTGTGAATAACCTTGATCTGGTATTTCAGAAATCCTCATCAATGGAGTTGGAATAACTAATTATTTATTTTATCTCTTGTAAAATAGCTTTTATTTACTTAACTTACCTTTTTATTCGTTTTAAAGATTTTTACCACTTTTCCAGGATAAAGATTCAGTTGAACTTTTATAGAAGTTACATAAATAAAACTGTTGATTCACACGTAAAATTAACAATACATCTTATAAAACAATTAAATAACGTGTACTTAAAAATTATATTATGGTCTCGTAAACTAAACAACAGAGCTCACTACCAGATAAGCTAACAACGAAGGAAAATACTTTTGGTATGGATTTTCAGACATTGCCGTTTTTCTACCGATTGTAAACAAAATTGTAAACATACAATAGCAACTTAGCTCCTAGAATGAAATGCTTAAGTTTGCCCATTACTTTAAAATAAATTTATTGAGCTTATTTTATAAGTAGATTCAAAAGTTTTCCTTGTATTTTTGTTTCAACATTATATAACGATTAAAATACAGCTGCATTTGTAGTATATTACTGCAAATATAGCTTACATAATTGTTTTAGTAATAAGAACTACATGTACTTCCACATGAAAGATAACATAATTACAATAATGTATATAAAAGTTAAAAATAAATAAAAACTAGTTTAGGAACTCGACTATTATGTGCTAATTGATGATTTATACACATTTTTCTCTCTACTTGCAAATATTGTTGGTTAAAAATTCTTAATTTTATTTGTTTTTGAGGGTGGTGGACGCTTGCCCTACCTTATATACTTATATGCATGCAGTAAAAAAATGGCGATTTCAGTACTACAAATGGACATTCTAATCTTATTCATATGTATATAAGTATATATTAGGTTGACAATTAAGTGAGCTTTTCAGCTTAGGTTTCAATTGAGTTTTTAGCTTTGCCCACGTAGTCCAAATGTAAAATAACTTAAGTTAATGGATACTTGGCAATTTAGATGTTCTTCAGTAAAAAAGTTTTTTGATCGGAAAGGTAAAGGTAAAGAGGCATCTTAAGCTCACAAAAAATTATGAGCTGTTTATGATGACGAAACCTTAAAAAAACGACAGTGTCAAAATTGGTTTGGTAAATTCCGTTCTGGTAATTTTTCACTCAAAGATGAAGTTGATTACAAAGGAATTATCTACTTTTACTCTTACCTCCCAAACGAACGATCAATCTGGATGTTTACATTGAACCTAAAATGGCCTAAATTAACAAACTGATAAGGTGATTTTTTTCATTATTGACTCACATATCTTTGGACACTCGGCAAAAATTATTGGTGTTTGGTTAGGATGTTTAGCCATATCCACCATACAGTCCTGACCTTGCACCTTCTGATTACTTGTTATTTTGATCTTTCAGAATTTTTTTTGAATATATTAAGTGATGAGGATCACTATGATTAATTTGATATTGAGTGGGCTGTAAATTATAAATATTCCATCACCATAAGATATGTGAATAAAACTACTATTTAGATTATGATATATATTGAACTTCACTCTACAACCTTCTTCTCTCATTACATTTGCTAGTCTCCCTAATTATTATGAGTTACAGCTTTTTATACTCATATCATTGTATATTCATATCATTGTATCCCCTACCCCAATGGGTCCCGGGTTAAATAGAAAAAGCCCTAGTCAAATCTTGACCAGTAAGAATTTTAATGATTCTGATGGTGCCAAATTGTACCTGATACAGTTTTTGCTAGTAAAAACCAAAAGTTATATGGCAGTGGGATAATGATGCTTCTTGGAAGATGACAGAAAGCCATTGATCAAAATGGACAATAAAGTTATTTAGTTCAATAAAAACAATTATAACAAAAATCCGCACTTACTTAGTTGCCAACGTATATAATATATACTATATTATATTATATGTACTAATGATGGGCTTATCATATCCGAAGCTGGATCGGTTAGGATTTAACTCCGCTTCAGAGAGGAGTTATATTCACTTAGAAACTTCACAACTTCAACAACTTTGAAACATAATACTTGACACAAATGTGTTCTCTAGCGTGTTGTTAACATGTCTAAGGATTTATTAAGACTTTGGAAATAGTTTACAAATAGTTCAAACATTTTTGTTCATTTTATTATAATAATTACTATTTTATGCATTTCAATATGCATACAAATCTCAAATTGACAAAAAACTTGGGAAACAAAATCAATTTTATAATTATTTTTGAAGAGAAAATATAGAATTCTTTGAATATGTTTATTTTTATATGGAATTAATGCAGTGGACTTTATATATGAAGTAAGACAAATCTTTGTGTATAATATTTTTCACAAAATAATAGTATTTCACATTTTTTATTATTTCCTTTTCTAAAATTAATTATTATCAGGTAGTTTGATTAGCATACTATTACTTTTACACAATTATAAAATCATAATTGTGTAAGTTATAACATTTTTTTTTTATTTTAACAGCGATCAGAACTTACGGGTTCTATGAGCTGTTGTGATTAATATCTTACAAACTACGTTTGTTTTATTCCAGATGGCAACCCAAACAGTTGTCACATCTCTGTATGATAAATTTTTATTACAATCTCTGTAATAGGGCAAGTATGGTGCAACAATGCCGGGCGAGGGCTATTTTCACTTGGAAACATATTGCTGTCTATATTTCCAAGTGAAAATCTTTGTCAATGTTGCCTGACAACAGGCTGCTCGAAGTGGGTATCGAACCCGGGACCTCTGAAACAAGCCCCATCGCTCTTAACCGCTTACCTACGGGCGAGCCCAAAAGTTATAACATGATACTAAATATTTTTTAGCTGGTTGTATACATACATTAAAAGAGCGCATTTACGGTCAAACATTATCGTATACAGAATATAGAATACAAAATAGCATTATTTTGAGACATTACATACTTGAAAAGTCCTAAAACTGACTGTGAGACGAGAAGAAGACCACTTTTTTTCGACTCAAATTTTTGTATTAGTAAAAAATCTCGAGCAAATATCTGCACATGTTAACAGATTTAGTATCAGTTTAGGGAAGTCGGATATGACAATCTCGGATTCACTCCGAGGGAGGAGTTGTATCGGAGTGATAACTCCGGAGTGAGTTACCCATCTCTAATATGTACATAATGTGTATGTATGGATTATAACTTATGCATTTTAGAACATATGTATATTACCAAAAACATTTATTTTGATGTGACCGAAAATGTCCAGAAGACATTGAAAACGTTATAAATATTGTGTTCCATGTGGCTCTTTCGCCATCTAATATTATTTTATTGTTTATTTCAGAGTCGCAGGGCGCGGCCGTCAGGGGGCCGCCACGCACTGTAGTATGTCCTCTAAGCGCCAATACGATCTGGTCACGAGTGATGAGTATGATACCCGCATACCTCTGCATTCCGAGGAAGCTTTTCAGCATGGCATTTGTTTTCACGCGAAGGTAATAAAATAAAACTAGCTGTAAGTGGAATTCTGTCTTAAGGCAATTAGGGCATCGTGCCTTAAGGCAAATTGCTGGAACTTCCCGTACCAAAAATTATTATTTTTTTTTTAAAACGATTAACATTTTTGAAAAAAAATTACTTTGAAAAAATAAGATTTTTGAGAAACTATAAATTGGACAAAAAATTAGTTTTTTTTGAAAAAAAAAAAAAAATTTTAAAAATTTTTTTAAAAAAAATTTTTTTTTTTTTTGAAAAAAATTTTTTTTTTCTTTATTTTGACATATTGTGGAAGATCTGAACTTTTTTTTCAAAGCAATCGTACTGCTTTAACTACATAGGGACAAAATATAAAGCGCGTAAGCGCCGCGTCGCTGTCTAACGCATAAGCATTGGTACGGAACCGATAGGAATGTTAACAAAATGTATACTTATTGTTAAAATCTCTATAAAATGTCTGATAATTTGATGTGCATATGTCTAATGATCATTTTTGACCGCCAAATGGCTCATTTTTTTACTTTTTCCTCTATATCTCCGAAACCGCTGGACCTACCTTCATGAAAGTTATATCGATTCTTCATCTTGTCAATACAAATAAAATGTTTTTTGAATTATTAAAATCGGTCGCTCCGTTCTCTTAAAAACTGAGTTACCGTTTTCGGAACTTTTTGCCCCGTATCTTCGGAACGGCTTGACCTGCCTTTGCCAAAAACTAATCAGCACGTCTCCTTATCAATACGGATCGAATGTTTTTTGAATTATTTAAATCGGTTGATCCGTGTTCCCGAAATCGTCGACGAAAATTTGTATCCGCACATACATACACACACATACATACATACATACATACACACACACACACACACACATACACACACACACACACACACACACATACATCCATTTTTTCTAAGGTATGCCAAAATGTTCAGAAACCTCTGAAACGTAAAGATATATAAAAATTTTCATTTTCGATTTTTTTGCGATTACTATAACTTGCCCTACGGGAAGTTAAAAAATTCTTCGTTTTTATTACGTTTGATTCAATTTTTTTAACATTTTCCTGATCACATTGAAATGGTAAAAATAGTGGTCCATGGATGACAACATGTCTTAACCCTCCGTCGATCGGCGTGGTCTGGCCAGACTTTTTTCGACTTCAATTTAAAAAAAAAAAATACTTCTAGTAATCCTATCGACTTGAAATTTTTTGACTTTTCCTAAAATTTCATTAGCTGTCGATCAATGAAAAAATCAGGACGAAAAAATTTACAGAAGGATAATTATAAGGATATTAACTTTTTTATACTTTGAACGGTCGGAGTGGTCTGTCTAGACCACCCATACATTTTTGATATATGTAAACCAGTATTTTCTCTTTTTTCTGGTATTTTCTATTCAAACTGCATTTTATATATTCTTCTTTGCTCTGTGTTGTAACATGAATGTTAGTATTTTCACGACGAGAGTTCCTTGAAAACCTACCAAACTTATCGGTCATCGCAAACATTGAAAATCTGATGAGTAATGCGCATATTATCAAGAATTTTTTTACCTGTACTGTGTTCGAAATTTTTTTTTTTCAAACCTGAAGTGAAATTATATTTTCAACTTGAATTTTATAGCTCATTTCAAAGGCGACGCATCTCATTTCATTTTCATTTGAATTTCACATTCATTTCGAAGGAGCCGAAAAAGATAACTATTGTTTTTCATTGATATAAAACAGAAAAATAAAAATAATAAAAAAGCAACGATTATTTTATATTCCTTGATTTTTTTATATAATATAATATAATATATATATTTTTTTATTATAAGCAAGCTCAACACATGTAAAAGACGGTAAAAAAGAAAAAATCTAAACTATAAATATTTACTACTAATAATCGTTAATATATAAGACACCAAAAACTCATTTACCCCATAAAAAAGCATGTAAAATGAATGGTGGTCCAGCCAGACCACTCCGACCGTTTGAAGGTGAAAAAATATTCGACCGACGGAGGGGTAAAGCAAATTCCTGGAACCTTCAGTACAGAAAATTAAATTTAAAAAAAGCTTTAATTAATTAATTTTTTGGAGATTTTGAAAAAAAAATTCTGAGACTTTCTGGATTTTTTTTTAAAGTGATTGCGCTTATAGTTTTGGAGACGAAATATTGAAGCGCGTACGGAACCCTCGGAAATGTAAACTAAATTTGTACTTATTATTAAAATCTCTATAAAATATCTGATAATTTGATATGAACATGTCTAATGGATATTTTTGACCGCCAAAATGCCATTTTTTTAACTTCTTTATTGGATCTCCAAAATCGCTGGACCTGCCTTTCCGAAAATTTAATCCATTCATCATTTTATCAATACAAGTGAAATGTTTTTTGAATCATTCAAATCGGTTGATCCGTGCTCTGGAAATCGTAGTCGAAAAATTGTATCCAAACATACATACATACATGCTACACACACACACAAATAGATCCATTTTTTTTCTAATTATTAGATATGTCAAAAATACAGAAATCTTTGAAATGTAAAGATATGTAAAAATATTAATTTTCGATTTTTTTGCGATTACTATAACTTACCACATTATATTGGTAAAATTAACGTTTTTCTTAGTTATAGTGTTTAATTAGATTTGTTGTCTAAACATATTCATATTATATTATGTGTAACAATTTCATCAATTACGCTTAGTAATTACTAAAATTGTTATCGTTTGTCGATCTTAATAAATTGTTTATTAATGTCTTATAAATCTTTTTTAAAATATCGTTTCTATTCTCTGAAGCAATCACAACGATATGGGCTAGTTTTATTTAACGATTTGGCTAAACTGGTTCTGAATTTTATGTAACTTTTACTCATCAGTTGCATTCACTAGTTCATTAAAAAGTTAGAAATTGTTTAATTCTTGAATTATTCATTTTTATAATGTTTCGCCATTTTTTTATTATCGTTTCATATTTCATAAAATATGATCAGACATAACACCAATTGTTTTCTGGAAATATGTTATACTAATTAGGTAATTAAATGAACATGATATATTCTCGCGTTCTATTTAATAAAAATTAAGTGGACGCACAATCATTTTATTAAATTAAATAATGGAATAATAAATCAGTACAATGGTACCTCTTCTTAGTATAAAATTATCATGGACTCTAATTCTCATGAACAAAATTGCTTATTCTTTGCGTGGTCTGGTTTTATTATAATTTTAGTGTTTGCCGAATTAATTCAAACAATATTTAAATTAAAGTTATAAATGTCAACTTTTTACAGAAAGTTTATTGAAAATGTTATTGAAATCGTTAGTCTAATCTCCCTATTGAATTTTTAAAATATAAATTTACTACACTTACTATTTGACACTCTTCAGATTTTGATCGTATAGAAATCTAATCCAGCGACAAACACATGAAGTTTTTTAATTTTTCTTGTTTTTCATTTTCTCTATAATTATTCTTAGCATTTTCTTATAAAGGGAATAATCTACATCTCCAAACGAGTAATAAAAATGAAATAAAATTATTTTCAAGAATCTTGACTTTGTAAAGGTATTTTGATTGTTTAATCAAATTACTTACGCCCGAAGTTGTAGGATAACAAATTCGATTAGTCAAATTGTGAAGGTGAAAGCTATTTTTCCACGATTGCATAAATTACATTTGAATTGCGTACATAAAATTTAAATTAAATTTAAATTAAACATTTTAATACAATGATGTTATTTATATATTCTCTTTAAAAATGCGACATAATATTTACTATAATGTATTATTTAAAACATCCATTTACAATCTTAAGTTAGTTTCCAATATAATTTTATACTTACAATCTGCAATGTATGGAATGTGAATGTTATATGTAATCATAGTCTGATTCATGGATAATTTCAAACTATCTTATAACCTTCGTTTATTACTTATATATGATGTTTTAAAGATTAATTTATTGACACAATAGTGGCAGACTTAGTTGACATTAACGAAAAATCGTATAAATTTTGGTTATAATACAATTGAAAATAAATATTTTTACATGTATACATTAAATATATTAAAGGAAAATGTTAGTTTTATTATCAGTTTAAAATTTATTCAATATATTGATTGCTATGTAAGAACAATATTTTTATTTGGTTGCATGATGCATTTAATTGATAGGAGTTTGATTTTTTTATTCATTGCAGAATATTTTCTTTTTTTATCTTTATTTATTATTTTGTCAATCAAGACTTATAGAGTCTTATAATATAAAACTGTTTTCTTAGCTAATAAAAACAACAATCAAATTATACAATGTACATAATTAGTTACAAAAAAATAACAAACTAAAGAAAAATAATAAAATATGAAGTAAGATACAAAAATATAAATGAAAAAAAAATGGCTTGGTGAAAGGTATTGCCGACTAAGTTATGCCATTGCAGAATATAAGTATAAAAATTTATATTAGAACTTACGATTGTAAACGTGTGTTTCACATAAAAGATATTGCGTTAAAGTAAATATTATATCGCATTTTCAGACTTTATAAATGATGACACCATTGTATTGAAAAATTTAATAAACATTTCATTTATGTGCCCTATTCAAATGTAATTTCTTCGATCGTGGAAAATTATCTTTCACCTTCACAATCTTACTAATCGAATTCGTTATCCTACAATTTCTGGCGTAAGTAATTTGATTACATACAATCAAAACACTTTTACAAATTCTTTCTTGAAAATAATTTTTATTTCTGTTTCTTGTCTGTGGATATAGGTTATTACCTTATTCATTATTAAAATATTATTTACGAAAAACATTTTATAGTGTTTTACACATCAGCGGATACATGGAGTATAATAATAAAATATAATAATTTAAACACGAAAACTAAATATCTACAATTCTATTAAACCTGGGAATAAACTATAATGTGAAAATAGGCATTCTTTGGCATTGCTTTATAAAATTAAAAATTATTATTATTAGAGA